TCCTGATGTTACCATGTCACATCAACCACAAGAGCTGTCCTCTGTTGTTTGTCCACGACCTCAATGTCCGGGTGGTTCACCATCACCATTTGGTCAGTCTGGATCTGGAAGTCCCACAGCAGCTTGGCTCTCTCGTTCTCTACCACCTTAGGGGGGGTTACCCATTTTGACCTTGAGCTTCCAGTCCATACTCTGCACCGATGTTTCTGTACACGATGCCAGCCTCTTGGTTGTGGCGTTCCATGTCTGCTTTCCCTGCCAGCATCTTACACCCTGCAGTTATGTGGTGGATTGTCTCAGGGGCCTCTTTGCATAGCCTACACCTTGGGTCTTGTCTGGTGTGGTAGATCTTGGCCTCTGTGGCTCTGGTGTTCAGGGCCTGCAGCCATGATGAGTGTCTCTGTGCTGTCCTCCAGACCAGCTCTTTCTAGCTGGTAGGGTTTCTTGATACCAGCCACTTCAGTTATCTGTCAGTGGTACATCCCATGTAGGGGTTTGTCCTCCATGATGGTATTTCCAGTGTCTCCTTATCTGTTCACCATTGTCTGAGACATTCACTGTGCACATCATCTGTTAGGGCCTTGTCCTTGCCTTGGCGATTTTTAGATCTACATGTTCTCATATACTGAAAATGTCATGAGCCGGGGTGAGTACTCTCTTTCTCTTAACCATCTGTGAGTCTTGCCAGGAGAAGGAGTGGCCCAGCTGTTCCTGATCAGCAATCAGCGGGGTGTTTTCCTATTTATGGTGGATGGAGGACACAATTAGACGCCGGAAGATTGCCTCAGCTTGGTAGTAGCCAGCCACTCGAGTTATCTCTAGTATTTCTTGGATTACTGTTATTCGTAGTGTTTTGCTCTTAGTATTTTTGGATGTTGACCTTTCTTGTGTCGCCTGGAACTGATTTGGATTTTTACCCTTCTTCAGGATTCCTGTCGGCCTCTTTGGATATTTAGCTCTACTCCAGGATTTGGATATTCAGCACGCGGACCATATCACCAACCTCCATAACCCACCTCTCATCTCAACCCAGTGCCCCATCCACCAGGACGCCCCGCTTCTCTCCACCTATGCTCGCTCTCCTGCGCTTCCCCCCCGGCTCTCTACCTCTCCCTCCTCCAGCCAACATCTACACGCCCCACAGTAAGTTCCGCTGAACACCTCTGCCTGCAATGGACTTCTGAATCAGAACCTATGCTCACTTGTGTTCTCCCTCCTCCAGACGCTGAGCTGTCGTAGCAGTTCCAACCATCTGTGCATCCTAAGTTTCTCCTTTATAAATAAATAATTTTACCATCCGTATTTGGTCTGTGTTGCATTCTGCATGTCTTGGGTTAGGTGCCTTCCTCCAAACATGACAGAAAATTCCACACATCTATATATATATATATATATATATATATATAATGTATATATATATAGATGTGTGTGTGTATGTGTATATGTATGTATAAATATCTATATATATACACACAGGGAGTGCAGAATTATTAGGCAAGTTGTATTTTTGAGGAATTTTATTATTGAACAACCATGTTCTCAATGAACCCAAACAAATCATTAATATCAAAGCTGAATGTTTTAGGAAGTTTTTAGTTTGTTTTTAGTTTGAGTTATTTTAGGGGGATATCTGTGTGTGCAGGTGACTATTACTGTGCGTAATTATTAGACAACTTAACAAAAACAAATATATACCCATTTCAATTATTTATATTTACCAGTGAAACCAATATAACATCTCCACATTCACAAATATACATTTCTGACATTCAAAAACAAATCAGCGACCAATATAGCCACCTTTCTTTGCAAGGACACTCAAAAGCCTGCCATCCATGGATTCTGTCAGTGTTTTGATCTGTTCACCATCAACATTGCGTGCAGCAGCAACCACAGCCTCCCAGACACGGTTCAGAGAGGTGTACCGTTTTCCCTCCTTGTAAATCTCACATTTGATGATGGACCACAGGTTCTCAATGGGGTTCAGATCAGGTGAACAAGGAGGCCATGTCATTAGTTTTTCTGCTTTTATACCCTTTCTTGCCAGCCACGCTGTGGAGTACTTGGACGCGTGTGATGGAGCATTGTCCTGCATGAACATCATGTTTTTCTTGAAGGATGCAGACTTCTTCCTGTACCACTGCTTGAAGAAGGTGTCTTCCAGAAACTGGCAGTAGGACTGGGTGTTGAGCTCGACTCCATCCTCAACCCGAAAAGGCCCCACAAGCTCAGCTTTGATGATACCAGCCCAAACCAGTACTCCACCTCCACCTTGCTGGCGTCTGAGTGGGACTGGAGCTCTCTGCCCTTTACCAATCCAGCCACGGGCCCATCCATCTGGCCCATCAAGACTCACTCTCATCTCATCAGTCCATAAAACCTTAGAAAAATCAGTCTTGAGATATTTCTTGGCCCAGTCTTGACGTTTCAGCTTGTGTGTCTTGTTCAGTGGTGGTCGTCTTTCAGCCTTTCTTACCTTGGCCATGTCTCTGAGTATTGCACACCTTGTGCTTTTGGGCACTCCAGTGATGTTGCAGCTCTGAAATATGGCCAAACTGGTGGCAAGTGGCATCTTGGCAGCTGCACGCTTGACTTTTCTCAGTTCATGGGCAGTTATTTTGCGCTTTGGTTTGTCCACACGCTTCTTGCGACCCTGTTGACTATTTTGAATGAAACGCTTGATTGTTCGATGATCACGCTTCAGAAGCTTCACAATTTTAAGACTGCTGCATCCCTCTGCAAGATATCTCACTATTTTTTACTTTTCTGAGCCTGTCAAGTCCCTCTTTTGACCCATTTTGCCAAAGGAAAGGAAGTTGCCTAATAATTATGCACAATTGATATAGGGTGTTGATGTCATTAGACCACACCCCTTCTCATTACAGAGATGCACATCACCTAATATGCTTAATTGGTAGTAGGCTGTCGAGCCTATACAGCTTGGAGTAAGACAACATGCATGAAGAGGATGATGTGGACAAATACTCATTTGCCTAATAATTCTGCACTCCCTGTATATATTATATATATATATATATATATATATATATATACATACATACATATATACATTTATATATATTTCGATTAAATGAATAGGTAAAACAGCTAGAATCGCACGTGAAAGCATCTGAGAGCAAATTTAAAGATTAAGTTCACTCATATTTTCAACACCTTGCAGTGGTCTCTAATATAAATTAATGCGATTGGATCTATGCAGAACAAAAGCTCTGGCGCTCCTGTTTCAGGAGCTAGGAGTTAGCCAGAGGGGTGGGAAGCAGAAGCAGCAGGATTTAGAATCTTATTTCCTGATATTTGGACATCTCTCTTCCGATCGGATAACAATAACACAACTCTACCACTCATTCTGTTTGCTTTGCAACACTGATGTTTTATTTCCACAAATAACACAAACCAGAAGGAGTTCTGCTGTGTGGTGGAGTTACTCATGATTACAGTTAGCTTCTACTAGTCGGGACGTGCTCTGCTGTTTCCTGGACGCCAAACCAACAATACACTTCCCTGTCATGAGTCAAAAGTGAGTCCATGAATGCTAATTTACAGTGTGCTGTGGAATTGTCAAGCTTTTGTAATCCGTGAGTTTTCCTGGCTATTTTCTATCTGAAGCTATGCAGGAACTAGACATGGAAGATGTTCGGCCTACATGTGTGAACCAGAATGGCCAATCATCAGAACTTGCTCTTTAAAACATGTTCAGCCACTCATGTAGAGCCTTGATTTTATTACTGAATTCAATCAGCAGGCTTTAACACAATAAGCAAGGTCAGACAAGGTCGTTATTTTACACAGCTGAGTGAAGTGAGTTTAGGTTTTTGTGACCTAGTTTGAGTAAAAACATTTTTAAAAAGAGTGCATGGGAGGTTTTGGCACTGGTTTGGTAATTATATAATTTATCTCTGTCCGTGAAAGCTGCAAGATGTGAGGAACTCAATGTTTCTCCGCGAGCAGCTAAAGGGGAATAGTTTGCAACTGTTGAGACTTGCTGCTTTAAAGCTTATAAAAACCACACCTGACTGTTGAGCTGATGAACTTAATTATAGTCATACATGTCTGAGGCACTTCATGAATGCACCGATTGAGAGTAACAAACAGGACACAATGCATTAAAGCAAGCACAGTTGTGAGAGGACACACTCATAGGAGCTGATGCTGAAAGTTCAATGCAGCTGCAGAAGTCACAGCCAGAAGGTTTTCATTTCTGCAAGAAATTCAGCGACGGAAAAGTTGGTCAGTTTGCCTCTCGCTAGACTTCTGGGTCTTATCTGTTCACACACACACACACACACACACGAATTTAAAGTCAAATATGCTGTAAACATTTTTACTAAAGTTTCTAATCACCTGTCAGTGGTCAAGTTATCTGTTTGAACAAAGATTAAAGCAGCAATCTGGAGTTTTCTCCCTTTCAGGAACTATGAATGATTTTTTACAAACTTGTAACACTCAGTGCATTTACATGTGCGTCTAAGTCGATATAGGTTGATCTACGGCAATAATCATGACATAGGATTTCTGCTTTAAGAATGTGTATCAAATTGAGTTGACTATAGTTTAGCCAACTTTTATGTAAATATGTGCAAAAAAACCTGTAAAGTATTCTAAACACAAGTGCGTCTACTAGGTAATCATTTTTTACAGGGAAAAAAACACAAATCCCTACAACTACAACCATGAACTTGTAGAAGTTAGAAGTTATTCTGTGGGGCTATTTTTTTTTTATTATTTACAAACCAATTATTAAACCACCAAGTACTTTTGAATCATAAGAAAAACTTTTTAAACTTTCCTGAGTCAGGCTAGAATGCTCAGCTGTAAGATTATAATATTAAAGTTTTTCTATGCATTGAACAAACACAGCTGAGAGGGGAAAAAAAACTTAAATGCAGCAATTTTACAAAGTTTGGTTATTTAAAGACAATTTTTTGGTGTGTATTTGCATTTAAAAGAAAACTTTACATACTGAGTTGAGTACAGAGTAATATTATTCAAACAAATTTATTGAAATTTTGAGTCATTAAAAGGATTTTTACTCCTCTGATGTCATCAAGGTGAATGTGGTGACACACAAACTCTCCTTTTACTGTTCACATATGTTATGGCTTCTCTCTTGTGTGGATCCGTTGGTGTTGTTTCACAGTGGCTATCCGAGAAAAACATTTCCCACACTGGTCACACGAGTATGGCTTTTCTCCCGTATGGATCTGCTCGTGTTGTTTCAGCGTTGACCTATAAGTGAAACTCGTGCCACACTGGTCACAGGTAAATGGCTTTACCCCTGTATGAATCCGCTGGAGGTAATTCAGATTCCCTAAATTAGAAAAACGTTTCCCACACTGGTCACACAGGTATGGCTTTTCTCCCGTATGGATCCGCTCGTGTTGTTTCAGCGCTGACCTATAAGTGAAACTCTTGCCACACCGATCACAAGTAAATGGTTTTTCTTCTGTGTGGACATGTTTTAACAAGGATGGAGTATCAAAGCCCTTGTCACACTGGTCACAGAAGTGCAGCTTCCTTGCTCCATTGGTAGGTCGATCCAACGGTCCGACGCTCAGTTCCTTCTCAACTGTTTCCTCTTTGCAGTTCTGGATCTGTGACATAAAGAAACAAATACTAATAAATGAAATATTTCCAGAAAAGTTATCTTACAACACATACTTAATTTGGAAACATATAAGTAGATTAACTAAATTCTACAGTGATACATTGACATAATATTTTTAAAACAAACATCACATTTATAAGTAGATAATTAAACGATGGATTAGAAAATGCTTTTTTTTTCAAATGCTACAGATGTTTCCTAGCAACCTGATTTTATGGTTATGTTAATGCATTTGGACAATTTGTTTTTCCAAAGCAACTTAAAGAGAAAGTCACTCCCTACCAGAATCTTAAGCCTGGGGCACACCAGAGGCAGATGTATGGAAGCCCATTCCCGCCACTCAGATAAAAAAATATAAAATATTATCTCATAATTATGACTTAGCTATCTCATAATAATGAGATACTATCTCATTATTATGAGATACTATCTCATTATTATGAGATAGCTAAGTCATAATTATGAGATACTAATTTTTTTTTTATCTGAGTGGCGGGAATGGGCTTCCATACAGACGCGCCGCGCCTACGAGTTTAGAAAGTCGCGCGATAGTCACAACATCATGCAGGACTTGAAAACAGGAAGCGGGAAGTGACGCTACCGTCTACATGTGATCTGTCATCTGTTATCAAAACTGTGGCTGGTTTGTGCCGTTCTGCGTCGTAATGTCTGTTATAAAGTACTCCACAATGTTGTAAACAGCCGCGGCACCATCGCATGGTGCTCCCCGTGTACCCACTGTCATTAACTATAATGGCTTCTATTTAAAATGACGGCGCAGCGCGTCTGCCTCCGGTGTGCTTTACTCCACTGCGACTTTGTTTGAAAAATGCAACAAATGCTGTTGCCTGGCAGATCGAGATACCAAATTAATACAAACATATTTAAATTCAAATGCAGTGCAGTTTTTACCTAAAGAGAGCAACACTGACAGTTTTAGATAGAAGATTAAAATTTTAACTGAGATGCACTAAAGTGCCAAACTACACGTGTCTACACCACGATTAGACACTCATTTATTTAGTTCATCAGCAAACAAAAAAGTATTTTTTCAAGATTTAGTTCTACCAGCATGTGTGGTGAAACATTTGGCTTTTGAGTTGACTCAATCACCTCATCCAGTGACGTCATTTCGCTGGTGGTCACACTTCACTCCTCCCCTCTATGCAGGAACCACCTCTGGAATATTCAAAAAGACACAAGATTTGTAAAAAAGTGCTTCAAAAATAGCAAACTACATAAAACTAGGATAAAATACACAAAATAAGTTTAAATCACTATTAGTTTACAACTGAAAAATTATCTTTGTTTTACTTACAGGCAACAAGGAAAACTTTATACGTGTGTAAAACTGTAAATAAATTGTAGGGAGTGGTTTTTACAAGTTCGAAACATAATCCTGGTAAAGAAATGATAGGTAGCTATTCACACATTATTTTTGCAATAATTAAATATATGTTTGAAGTTGTCATTGGCAGCCCAACTCATCTGTATTATTGAATCACTGCTGCAGGAATTTCATGCACTAATAAAGATCTGGATGAGAAAACTAAGGAGTAGAGGAGAGTAGAGTCCATAAATCATAGTTTTTCCTTACCGTTTCTGTGCAGATGCTGAGATATCCTTTGCAAGATGAAAATGTTCTCTCATGAGTCAGAATGAAAACCTTTTTAAAAACAATGCAGCATTATTTTCATGGTAACCGATGGAGGCATCAATTCCAAAATGGATTTTTAAATGAAAAATGCTTTTAGAACTTTTACTTTTGCTTTGCTTCAGTTTGAAACAAAATAATGACGGGGTGGAATTTTTCATGTGTCTTTACACCAAGGCTAGATTTGAGAAATCACCAGATAATTGAATTTAATTCCTAAAATGATAAACTATTAACAACGTTTCGAGGGAAGATTTTGTGTATCCAGTTATTCCTGAAAGAACATGTTGGGGATAAGATTCACCTTAAAATTCTCCCTGTTCACAAAGTACTGAGATGTCACACACACACACACACACACACACACACACACACACACACACACACACACACACACACACACACACACACACACACACACACCATGTGTTGAGGTTATTCAGCTGCATGTTTGTATCTAGGTCGGTGAGTCATGAGTCAGAAACGCTCTGGCTGCTCTGGGGTGTAACATTACATGTATTCAGGTTTATGCAATTAACTCAGCATGCTGTTTATGTGTGTGTGTGATAAACAACAGAGCAATTTTGTTTGTTTATATTAGCAATAATTTATATTAGTTGTGCCAAAAGAAATAGGAGCTCTTAACAGAGGTTTTAAAGTGCGTAAAAACAATCTAAGCTAAAATTCTGGCTAACATCTCAGCCTTGTTTGCTGAGTTATTTATTTTTATTTAGAAAACCTACAATAATAATAATTAATTATGATAGTAGTAGTAGTATTAATAATGATAGACAAAAAAAAACTAATAAAAGATGGTTGTAACAAGCAATAATTGCCTTCATTTCTATAGACCTGTTCTAAGTTGGAGAACTCCAAAGTGCTTCACACATCTATTCACACACACATATTAACACACCCATGGTGATGAGCTACAATGTGGCCACAGCCGCCCTGGGGTGTGTTAATATGTGTGTGTGAATAGATGTGTAAAGCACTTTGGAGTCCTCCAACTTAGAACAGGTCTATAGACCAGCAAACTGCCAGTTACAGAGAAAATGTCTGCATGGAGGCAAGGACCCAAATGCTTGTGAGAAATACAGAAAACATCCTGGTAACTCAAAATTTAAACTTTTAATCTGCAAACTCGGGCACATTCAGAGCTAAATACTGCAAAACAAGAATCCAACACTGAGGTGAGAAGTCAGAGAGCTGAAGTTGACAAGGAACAGAAGAATTACTGAGTGATTTCAGGTGTGGGTGATTGTCAGGGTGAACCTAACTCACTTTGGGTTACCAGCTACTGAGCTAACCTTTGAATTTGTGATGAATGTAGTTTGAATATAAAGAATATCCCCTTATTAAAGACACTCAATTATACTTTTGCGTTATTATTTCTCACATTAGTATTACCAGCTACTGTACTCTGTGGTAATAGTTTGCTGACCCATGATGGCTCAGAGCTCAAGTAGAGTTCCACCTGTAACAGACAGCTCTGTCCATGCCAGAACTCCTGTCCTTGGGAAAGACACTTCACCCTCCTTTCCTGGTGGTAGTAGGAGGGACCAGTGGTGCCAGTGCCACCATGTAGCTCATCACCATCAGTGTGTGAATGATTATACCATAAAGCACTGTGGAGTCCATTGACTTAGCAAAGCTCTATGGATGCCCTTTACCATGTTATGATTTTATTGGCTCAAATTAAAGTGACAATGTGTATTTTTACAGTTAATCTCTGGAAATATTCATGGATATGTTGTTGAAAATGAATAAAAATGAGGTCCAGTTGTTGAAAAATATTGGCAATTTTGCAACACATAACCATAAAAATTGGGTCTAAAATACATAGGGCACGGGTCTAGCATCTTTGGCAGACGCCATGTTTCCATGGGGCACTGCGCCTGTCGACAACTTCACTCTAGATGGTTGGCTCGATGTACGACACAGAAGTTACGTTACCATGTTCGAAAACATTTAGTAAGTTTAGTAAGAAAAATGAATTTAATAACAAAACTGCTAGACTCTTTCCAAAACATTTGTGAAAGAACATAATCAAAAAAGAGTGTGTTGCTGTTGTAACGTACTAATGGTCAAATTTTCATCAACAAAATGAGCAGAAATTAACTTTCATTTGCAGACACAAACACACCATCTGTCTGGCCCAAAACTGAGAACTCTGCTCCAGTCCTGAGACCTACTGTAACATTCTCAGTCAAGGTCTCGTGCTGCCGAAACTTCTGCATCCTCACTCTGAATAAAGCTCACCTTCCTCAAAGTTCCTAAGTGACTTTACAACTTACTTATGAGTTGAAATAATCAGGTGTGTTGAATGAACAAGATGTTTAAATCAAATGTCTGAATAATCTGTGCTTTAATCAATGATGGGTTTAAAGTGAATATACGACTTAACTACTCCAGATCTGCATGTGTTGATTTAACAAGTTAATCTATCAGTATAGAGATCCGGACCCCACGTGGGACTTCCTTCTCCCCTGCCACTTGGGCCAGCTCCTCCGGGGGAAATCCCAAGGCGTTCGCTGGCCAGGTGAGAGACATAGTCCCTCCACCGTGTCCTGGGTCTACTTTTAGGTCTCCTCCCGGTTGGACGTGCCCGGAAAACCTCACCAGGGAGGCGTCCAGGAGGCATCCTGACCAGATGCCCGAGCCACCTCAACTGGCTCCTCTTGATGTGGAGGAGCAGCGGGTGTACTCCGAGCCCATCCTGAATGACCGAGCTTCTCACCCTATCTCTAAGACAGAGCCCAGCCACTCTTTGGAGAAAACTCATTTCGGCCGCTTGTATCCGCGATCTTGTTCTTTCGGTCACTACCCAAAGCTCATGACCATAGGTGAGGGTAGAAATGTAGATCGACCGGTAAATCGAGAGCTTCGCCTTCTGACTCTGCTCTCTTCACCACAACAGACCGGTACAACGCCCGCATCACTGCAGATCCAGCACCAATCCACCTATCGATCTCACGCTCCAGTTTTCCCTCACTAGACCCCGAGATACTTAAACTCCTCCACTTGGGGCAGGACCTCATCCCTGACCCGGAGAAGGCATTCTACACTTTTCCGAATCAAGACCATGGTCTCAGATTTATTTATTTATTTATTTATTTATTTATTTATTTATTTATTTATTTATTTATTTATTTACCGTGTCCTGTCTGGCTGTGAAGCAAGCAGAATTGATGTCTGAATGCTGGTGACAAGCCTTACAGATTTATTCTCAGGTGGAGCATCAAAGCGTTTGCTTTTAATGTCACGTCTGATACTTAAAACTTTATTGTTATTGTTTTTGAATGCTTTGTAATTCCGACCAGACACGGAGACAGAGGTGAAAGAGAAAGGAAAAGAAAAGGTGGGGAGAGAGGGGGGGTTCCACAAAAATAAACAATGAACAAGAGCCTGCTTCTAGACCTACAGAAAAAGACAAAAAAAAAAAGCAAAAGGACAAAAAAAGGGACACAACAACAACAATACAACAAGATCTAGCTATCACTGCATCGACTTGATGAAAAAATATATAATCAACATTGCTTAACTGAAGAATCACGATGATAAATCACAGTGCATTAAGTGCCCACCATAGTCTTAAGACCTGTGTTTAACGTGCCCAAGCCCATACTTTTGAGAGCACCATGTGAGCACCTGTGTGTGTACACGCGCTTGTTTATTTAAGGTTTCTCTATAGGAGCGTCCAACAGAGAGTGTGAGGGACCACAGATCCGCCCCCCCAAAGATGCGCAGGAGACGGGGGGAGCTCCAAGTCCCAGAGATCCAGGCGCTGCCCCAGAACACAGGAACCCCAAGGAGACTGCAACCAGAAAGGCCCCCCTCGAGAGGCACAGAGGATCGCCCCGGGGGGCCACAACCAGCAGCCGGCAGAGTCCCGGGAGACATCAGCGGCAAGCCCACAGGCCTGCCCGCAGCCTCCCACCCCCAAGCCAGCCGAGCCCGGGACCCAGCGACCCGGGACCCAGGGGCGACCACCCCCGCCGGGGACCCAGCAGAGCCCAGGGACCCAGACCCCACCAGGCAGCCACCGGGATCTATCAGGCAGATGCCAAAATCTTAAACCCCCTGACCCGGTTGCCACGAACACCATGGCACAACCCCTCACACCAGGTGTGGCAGTGGGAGGGGGGACGAAGATCTATATCATCAAGAGAAGTTCCAGGAGAGGGGAGGAGTCAAAGGCCCCACCTGACATATACAGTCATACACAAACACAGTCACACACTCCCTCCCTCATGCTCACACATGCACATACAACCCAAGACTTACAAAAATGGACACCGGACACCCACTTATGCTCCCCATAGACACCCTATTCACTCTGGTCCCGGTACTGCTGCACATTGGGTACAACCATCACCGGTAACCAGAGTTTGACCCTTTCTGCTGGGGTGCTGATGAGCAGGCTCCCCCGCCCAACGCTGAGCACAGCAACCCACCACCCCAGACCCCAAAAAGACAGCCAGATCTCCCTCCTAGCCTCCCGCCCCAGGAAGCCTAGCAACAACAGAGGTGGCTAAGACCCCTAGTCTCCCTCCGCCTGCTCCAATATAGTGTTGTGTGATCATGAGGTGTATGCCATGGCTCTGGTGAGTGGGCAGTGCGGGCATCATCCGGCCTATGCCAGCTGATGCCACCGCACCACTCCACTTACACCCTCAGCCATCAGTGTCTAAGTGCGGTTTAAAATTGGAAGTGGGCACCGGCACCCGGGAGGAGGCTGAGATATCCCCCTGCCAAATGCCGTTGAATGTGCTCACTCCCAAGGCCCTAAGTGTGTGTTTGTGTGGAATGTCGTCAGTGGAAGTGTATAAGGTGCAAATAAAATTGGGGGGCAGGTTGCCAGGGGAATGCGGAAATGGGGTCCATACCCGCACTCCCTGACTTGCCCACCCCCCAAGGTCTTATGTGTATGTTTGTGTGATGATGTGAGGGAGCAGGAGGAGAGAAATATGCGGGGATGGGGAGGAATGGCTGGTTGGGCTTAGCCCTCCAGGGAGCCAGCTCCCCTACTGGCCCCAATAGGCACCTCTGTTGTCAAACTG